AATGTGCTTGCAAGCAGACATTTAGCATTTTTCAGAATATTTTCCAAGTGATATATGTTATGCATGTAGATGGTCTCGGGTTTTCAGAATGGTTCTGACTTTCAGGGCCGGTGCTAGAGTCTCAGCATACCCTCCCCCAACAAAACTTTGGCACATGCCCCCCCTCCATCTCTCCTCCATGTCATTTCAGTTTCCCAATGTGGGAGCCACAAACCCTCAAAGAAAAATTGGTGTGTGGGGGGGGAGGACAACACTTTTTTAAATGACCAAAAATCAGGGAATTATCCAATTTAAATGAAGATATCAGTACATATTCATCAATTATTTATTTTTATAATGAATAGGTTTTTTATTTAAAAAAAAACTGAGAAAATGTTATTCTTTTTGTAATAACCACTAATATTTTCATGACTATATTTTACTTGAAAAAATATAGTTAATTTTTCCATTTCCATAAAGATTTATTGCTGATGCATCTCCACTGAAAAAAAAAAAAGTTTTACAAAGATTCCAACACAGCACAAATGGGATTGTCTTAAAAATTTGTTTTAAAAACAGTATTTCAGTTTTTAGGATAATTTTTCATGTGCTGAAATCTTTAAGCATTTTTACTTTTTAAGTGATAGTTTTCTTGATTTTATCTTTCTAGAAATGTAAAAAATAGGGACTAGAATTTTATTTTATTTACTAGCCATAGACTGCTGATTAATATTACTATTAGTAAAAAAAAAAACAAATGTCAAAGATCCGCCTTAGTGGATGATCTCTGAATAAAAAATCATTTTACAGTGCTTAATTGATTTAAAAGAACTGTTCAGAAAGAAAATTACAATTTTAAAATAATAAGCACTACTGAAATTAGCACTTCTGCACCCACTTCCTAGTAGACATGGGGGCCCCCTACACGGTTGAGAGGTTTGGGGGTAGTAAGCACCAGCCCTGTCGATTTTTACCGTTGATGATTAACAATATAGCTTAGAAAAAAAAAAAAAAAGCAAAAAAATCCTGCTGAAACGAGCCCTTTTGGGGCTCCAACCTTTTTGGAGGTTCCTGCATATAACATATCACACCAGCCATGCAGATACACAATGTATATTATTAGTTGATGAATGACAATGTGATGTCAATTTAAAAATAATTAAGAAAAAAAAAAAAAAAAAAATGGCAGATGGCCATAAAACAGTGCTGAAAAAAAATTGCAGGGGCTACAATGGGGCCCCAAAAAAATACATCCACACCTAATTTTTAGGGTTAAGACATGCCAACATTGCTGACTTTGTCCTAATTTTAAGTATTTGTCAAGATATGATTGTTTGAAGTTAACATGTTTAATCATTTACTTTTAGATGATCAGTTCTGGATAGTTGCTTTTTCTGTCACTTTTTTTGCTAGGAAAGCCATTGGAGATCATGAAATGAATATTGTAAGTGACAAACATATTTAACTTGACACTCTTTTTAAAAAATAACCTATATCAAGTGGATTTTTGAGCCCTACAACATTGAAATAAATCAAATTAGCACATTCTTTGCCATATTTTTTTTGTCTCTAACCACACAACTACAAATAAGGCTAATAAAAATGCCTGAGACAACATTTTTTTTTCTTTTTCTCAAATATGAAAACAATTTAAATCTGCAAAATGTAAGAAACTTGTTCCTTGAAAGAAATTTAAAACATACCTAGTTACTTTCATATGTTAAATTGATCATTATCCACTTTAGCTCCAGATGCACTCTCCCCCAATAAATATAGCAAATTTTAAACGTGTGCATGCACACACGCACACATTCCAAAAATAATATTTTGATGTTTGGTCATTAAAATACAAATTTTATGAAAGTGATTCGAGCTAAGAATTCTTTAGCGTACCCTTTCCACAATGACAGAAAGGTAGGTCTCGGTGTGCAAAAAGTTAAAAAGGAGCGTTATAATTGATGTGCATAAAGCTTTCCACCACACAAACTTTTTGGAAAATAGAAAACTAATTTTAACTAAAAATAATTGCCTATTGATACGCCCTGAAAATTGGATAGAGTGATTCTTGGAGGGTCTGTCTACAAAATTCTGGAGTCAGTTGACTGATGTTGCTTTCCGCATCCTAAGTGACAAACTTTTTACTTGTATTAATTTTTTTCTCTCTCTTATATATATATATATATATATATATATATATCCCAAGTATAGGATTGGTGTATACGGAATAAATTCCAATAGCCAACAAATACTATTCTTAAAAGAGTGCTCAATACAATTTAAAATTGGTAATTTTTAATTTTATAGTATAATTTAATATTTATTAGTTAGAATGAATTATATTTTAGTCTAACCCTAACATTAAAGCATTAAATAATTATTATTACCTTAGAGTCTGTTGTCAAGTTTTTTGAATTCTCATATACTTGTATTTTGATTGGTCATTCCAACTAATGTAACAGCATTTCCCCTTGCGAGGGGTATTTGATTTGAACCTTTTAAAACCCTTTATTCTATATTCAATACCATCACTTGATAAGACACCGGAAGTGTTGAAATGAAATGGCTATTTTTGTAGTGATTTTGTAACATATTTATGTTATAATTTTCAAATAAATAATTATATATATATTTCCCAAAGTTTTATTTTAAATTGAACTATCTTTGGTCATAATTGGAAGATTTCTAAATTAAAACATATTCTTTTAATATGCTTGAACATCAAAGAAAAAAATCTCTTAAAGTGTTTATAAAAAAAAATCATTAGAAATGAATTAGTGTTCAAGTTAATTCATGAAAAATATAAAAGATTTTTTTTTTACAAGCATAAAATCTTAATTTTGCTCTAATAAAGCCATTTCCAAAGGGAAACGTGTAAACAAACCAGATTTTCAAGATATAAAGTTGAAGCTGTTAAGAAAATTTCAAGAATTGGAGAGAGAGAAGACAAAAGTTCAAGGTCAAAACACTGTCAACATTTGATGAAGAGTTCAACATAACTTTCCTGAGAGATCAAAAAATCTGACAAAAAAATCTTGCTTAGTATCTGTCAAATCCAGACAAACTTAGTTAAAAGGAATTCTTTAACAGTTTAAAGAAACTATTAGAATGGACTTTATAGAGGAGCCAAGACAAAAAAAAAATTTCTCTTGAAAAGAAAAAAAAAGGAGTTTCCAGATATTTCTAAAGATTGGAATGAGAATAAATGGAAAACAAGTGCTTTGAAATAATAAATCTATTTTAAATTCTTTTATCTAATCCTTAACAGTTTATAAGAAGATTTGTAGAGGTACAACTGCAAGTGTTTGCAGCCTTCAGTAAATTATAGCAGAAGTTCTGTGGTTGTGTTTTGGGAGGGGCATATTGAAGGGGGCAGATATTGTCAATGCTAATAAATACAAGCAGATTCTCATCCATTCTTATTCCATGTGGAAAGTGCCTGATTGGGAATAGCAATTTTTCAGAGAGTTATAAGAGTTATATCAACAATATTGATATCATGAAATCATATTTGAACACACACACACAAAGCATGTGTAAAATTAAAAATATAAAAAAAAGGTAAAAAAATATTAAATGAAAGAAAAAATTAAAAAGCTGACAATAATACCCCTAACAATCATGAATTGGCTTCCATGGCATCCTCACATAAATATTATGAAACAGAAACAGTATGAGAACACTATAATTATTTCTAAGAGGAATAGCAGAGTGATTTCCATGTCCAACTATAGCTTACTCCATGGTGACTTTATTGAGACACCACCTCTAGTTAGCATGCCAATGACTCTTTAGTTCATCTTTGTTAGGTTTTATTTTTTATCTATTTTAGAGGAACGGTAACCACCCTCTTCACCTTCTCTTGAAAGTGAGGCAGGAGAGCTGATTTAGTTTTCAGCAACTGAACGTGACAGTGAGAAAAAAACATTCCCATCCCTATTCCACTACTGCTATAGGAAACTCCCCTGTATGTGGCAGGAAGCCAACAAGTCTTAAGAACTCTTGGATGTTATAAAGGAAGCCTTCTATAACACAACTGAAGAAAATTTCAACAGTTCAGACTGTTTTAAGGGCAAAGGAGGGGTTCACATCAAAACAGTGACATTTCTGCTAATTGCATTTTTATGAATAGACAATCAGACAAATATTTAACTAGCACCTTTCCAGGCTTGCTGAAAGGAAAATAATTAAAAAGGTGAGCAAATACAGTTGCACACTAATAGAAACATCTTACATATTTCCTTCATTATATTATATACACAGGAGTGCTGAAAAGTTCTCATCTCAACCAGGAAACCCTTCCAAAGAAAATTCTGATGTTTGCTTAGATCTGATGAAATAGATCAGACTCATATATCATTGTTTTTATTTATTGTTAACCTATATAAATGGACAACAGTTATTTCAAAATCAATTTATTTTTTGATTGATTCATTTTCCACATTTTAACACCCCTTTGCAAGTTACAGTGTCACCCGGATATAAGAGAGATTTTCTCTGGTCCCAAATTAGAGCCTATGTCAATGTATATAAATTAGACCCGGATATAAGAGAGATTTTCTCTGGTCCCGTCCTCCCCAATATAAGAGAGTTCGTTTTGAGTGACAGTGTGATGTCGTAAATCAGTCAAACAGAGGTCAGTTAGAGAGAGAGAGTGAAGTTCAATGACTTAATCTTGACTAGTCTAGAGACACGGTGTGTCCAATCTGTGTCTGTAGGAGACACTCTCTACCTTATGATTTTGCTTTGTGTGTCTAAGAGTAGCGCCGCCCGCTTTTTTGCCGTCTTTGCTTGTCGTTGCATTTACTGGACAGCACTTTCACTTTACCCACTGTTCTGTTGAGTTAGAAGTTTGTCTGTTTGTTAATTTTGCCACTGAAAACCGTTTGCTCGCGATCATTGCGATTAGTGATGTCAGCGTCTCAACGAAAAAATCTGAGCATTTCTGAACAATTGGAGCTCATCGATGATGTCAAAGTGAAGAAATTCAAACTGGCCGCTGCAGCCAAAAAGTACGGAAGCGGTTATTCAACAGCAGCAAAAATTCTCAAGAAAGAAGACGATCTCAGATCTTGCATGAAAATGAACGGAAACACTAATCGCAAACGAAAGCGCCAATCCGTGCACAAGGACGTTAACGAAGCGCGGCGAATCAACGTCAGCAGATCACGGTTCTGCCAACGAATGGGTGACAAACGTTTTGCCGCAACTTTTTCGTTGTTTGGATGTTTGGAACTGTGATGAAACGGGAATTTTCTACAAAGCCATGCCGTCTGGATCTTTGCGATTTGCCGGCGACGAACAGTCAAATGGGACAAAAGTTCCCAAAGACAGACTCACGATGCTTCAGTTCACAAACATGGACGGCAGTGAAAAGCAAGCTGTAGTTGTTGGTAAGTCGGCAAAACCACGGCAAACAGATTTTGACGAATTTATCAGCTTCGACGACCGTACACAATGTTATGGAGAACTGACTGACACGGACATCCCACGTGGTATAAAATCGGATGATCAAGATTTTGACGAAGATGATGATGCTGAAAGCGTAAGTTCTGAAGTTTCTGAAAGTGACAAACCAGTGCCAAATTCTCTGGCTGCATTGAATGCGCTTGAAACTCTGACAGCCTACTTTGAAGCAAAAAGCAGTAATCCTGATGGCGCATTGAAAATGATTTACGGACTGTATGAAAGTGTTCATGATGTTAAAGAGATTTCTGTACAATAAAAAATGACTGACTTTTTTAAAGAAAAAGTAATTTTTGATTGAATTATTTTGAAAACTGATTGAAAATGTATTTTTGTCTGTGTTTTTTTATGTCTATAACTGTTAAATAAACTAGTGTTCTGTACGTAAAAAGCGTTATATGAAGTGTTCCCATACCTAAACAAAATAGACCAAACCTGGATATAAGAGACGACTTCTCCGGTCCCGACAACTCTCTTATATCCGGGTTACACTGTATTTAAAACCAAAAATATTTTTGAATTGTAAGAATGTTTTAAAAATAATGATGGTTTAGTGATACAAGTCTTACTAATTAACTTATAGTAGGGATAGAAGAGGCATGTTCATACCTTTCTCAAGGGTATTTGCATATAAGTGAATATAATGAACCCAAATGGAATTGGAACTTGGATCGCTGATTAACAATTTCGAGCCATTATTCATTACACCACCTGCACATTGAAGCTTGTAGTACTTGGTATTCCCATGAAATTATTTTAAATTATGTACAATTGTTTTTGTCTTAATTTCTGGGATGAGGAGTTATTATTTACACTTTTTATCTTTGGACTATTGTCCTTGTCTTCATTGTTGTTATCAAAACATTTAGCTTGTTGTGCTCTCCAGCCTTCTTCAGTGTGATTCCCAGGTCAATATACACCTGAGGAAGGCTGGCGTGCACAGCAGCTGAAACGTTATGATGACAAAAATGAGGACAATAGTTCTAATATAAATAGTGTAAAATTATGCACAATTGGTTGCATATTAATAAATATTTATTTTTGTTAATTCATTAACTGTTGATGATGGGAAATTGCATCATAGTTTTAAGGCTCAACTGCGAATGACGGAAATATCTGACGCAGGTAATGAGTTAATAAGATGTCGCTCGCCCACAAAAAACTAATTCTTCTATTATACGATACACCCTAAAGTGTTCCAACATATTTGATGACATAAGTAAAAGAATGTTTGTTATGAGTGACATGAGATTACAGATTACCCCTTTTTGAACCCCCCCGCTAAAAAAACAAAACAAAAAAAAAAGAACAGGAGGAGGAGGAGGAATCAAAGAGTCATTGTTGTTGAATTTATCATAATCAACAACAACAACAACAAAAAAAAAATTAATTTGCATGCTTTTCTGCTTTGGGGGTGGAGGGGAGATAACAACCAAAAGATAGAAACCTTGAGCCCATGACTCTTGCGTGTTTTCACTTTCCACACATTTCTTTAATCTTGGCTTTTATTAAAGTGGTCGTATTTATTACCACAACTTGATAACTGCCCAAGATAAGTTAACCGCACCTACCAAAAAGTCTGGATGAAGACTGAGAGAAAGAGTAAGATCTCTAACTGATACGAGTACGATGTGGTAGACGGTCAAAGAAATAGGTCGGGGGGGGGTGTCTTAATCGTCTTATGAGTGGGTATTTCTTTTGGCGTTAGTGTTTGTATGCATACATTTTATAATACGTGTGTGAGAATATGTGACTGTGCATATGAATAGACTGACTGCATTGGGCAAGGAAATAAAGAAAAAAAATGTCCAAGATTCTACATGTTACTCATAAACAAAAAGTTATGTTGAACAATATACCTACAACATGAAAAAATATATTTAAAAAAAAATCACTGTGCGTGTGGCGAATTTAACACCAATTGCTACTTCGTATCGTTCGGCTCCCTAGACGAAAATACCAAGTCTTCCAGTGTTTATGATCAACTTTTGAGTTGTTCCGGCTATAAAATAATTCTTCTAGGAGTAAACTAAAAATAAAAAATCAGAAAATTTATGTATGCAATACCAATTGTTATCTACTGTCTTCCTAATTCTTGTTCTTTTATTTTTCTCCCTCCTTATGGTGGTGTTTTTTCTCATATTCTGTAACACTCAGTAACCCTCTTGGGCTTTGTGTATTAGTAACTTTATTGCCTTGCTCATGATGAAATGATTAAAAAATGTTAAATAAATAAACCCACATAAACTGGTATAAATAAAACCTGCATGGATCTTTGTAGTTTAATATTACTAGAGATTTTACAAGCAAGCTTTGTGAAAGCCCTGGCCAAGGTCATAACAATTGTGTATAAGTTCAAAATGAAATCCAATTGAAATGTTTAAAGATTGGAGTGGATATTAGTACATTTTATTTTTAAAGAATATTAATCAATTTACAGGCCACACAAACAAAGCCAATAGAATGATTTTGATTCTTATCACGTGTAAAAGAAAAATAAAGTAAAAATTGAGAAAATGCAGAGTTTGAATATTGTTTGAAGTTTTTTGTGTTCACTTAGCACTTCTTGTAATACCCGCTTTGAAAAGGCATGAATCTACTTCTACCTGCATCCTAGTTCAATGTCAAATATCTTAAATGATGTCTAGAGAAAAGATTGGGCGAGTAATCATTTGGGTAAATCACTCGCTCATAACTTTCTTACTGCAAAAATAAATAAAATTAAAATATTTTATATAGTCACTATTAAAAGTGACAGGGATAATATTTGCTTCCCAGCAAAAGCAAGATTGTGGGAAAAATTATCCAAGTGCCGCAGCCTCTGCTATTAGACATCCAAACAACTTCTCATCATCACTTTTTAGTATAATGGGGGAGGTGCTGCTTTGGAGTTAGGATCTCCGGGAATCAAGCATGTGTATCAATTGTGTACCCAGTCTCACCTGAATACTGGACACATGAAGTGTATAAAAACTTATATGTACAGGGTGCGATGGGTAAATTGTCGTCATTTCATATTTTAAATTTTGCACATATGTGTTGTTTTTTATTTTGTCGACTGCACAGTTTAGTAGGGTCAGTTGGGCACCGTCTGTGAGAAAAAGAGCACCGTAATGCAATTCATTCTGCCAGAAATTTGAAAACAGCGTGCTGTACTACTTAGCAGTCATGCCAGAAGCTAAATACGAACATTTCCGAGTGTTTGTGTGTCAATCTGAGGACAATACAGAAGATTTGGAAAGAGTTGGATGAGTCTAATGGTGATTACGAAGGTACAGCTGCTTGGAAAACTAATTGATCGTTCTTATAATAAATGAACTCCCAAATGTGTTGGCGAGGGCCTCATACTCAACATGGAGGCCTACATCAAGTGAGGAGTTAGGGTCTTCCAGCAGCCATCCTCTTGACCCAGGGAAGCACTATATCTGGCAACAGGACTCTGAACCATGCCATATAAGCAGGAGAACCCAGCCATGGCCGTCACACAATTTCTGCAACCACATCACCCCTTACATTTGGCCACTTAACCCCCACCCCCAGACTGCAACCACTTGATTATTATTTGTGGGGTGCAGTTGAATGAGAGACTAACTAAAGTACTTGCAACATCAAAGATGAACTGAAAGCAAAGATTATGGCAGCATTTACCAACTTAAACAAGGAAACCGCCCAGAAGAGTTGTAGGAGATTCGGAAGTCGTCTGGAGGCCATGGTTGAAGCCAATGGCGATTTTATTGAATGAATTTACTCTTTAGTATTTCAAGATATTTTGGTGTAATTTTAGTAAATATATCTGTTAAAATGAGATGTCAGTTTTATTTTAATTTTTTTTTTTTTTTCCTAATTTAGACGACAATTTATCCATCGCACCCTGTAAATATTCACATTCTCTCTCTCTCTCTCTCTCTCTCTCTTTACTGAATGTGACCGACAAGGAATTTTTGTTATGAGGACTAAAAATGTTTAGAAACTGTCCGTAGTGATTACTGTCCCAAGCGCTTTCGGTCAGTTAATTAGCCATTTCAAGAGGTCCGTTGTTAGAATACAAACACAAAAATATACTAAGCTGGGTTGTATAGAAGTAGTAACAAATTCATGCTGGGGTGGCTTTAAAAAAAACAACTGCCACGACCAGTTTCAAAGCAACTAAAAAGGAAATAAAACAGGAAGGACACTAGGAAAATTGAATGGAAAAAAGAAAAATTTCTTGTTCTTCACGTTCAATGAAATCTGTATAAAAGAAGGACTGCTAGCCATATTTATAATATATGGATTTGCTAGTCGCCCTGGCAAACGGGTGTGCTCGGAAATGTTTCTGAGCACACCCAGCTAGCAAATAACAGGCACCCGCTGAATAGACCTTAGTTACAGTTTCTGGAAGATCATAATCAAATTTTTGAGCAAGGCCAACACACTCAAACCCTCGGTCACGATGGCTTGTGACTTCGTGCTATTACAACCATCGACGGCTTTCGAACTGTTCTGTCTACTCAGTTTCACTCACAAGCAAGGCTCTCTTGACCGGAAAGTGAACGTTCTACCACTCGATCACGCGCCCATATTTATATGGGTGTGAGTGTGTGTGGGAGAGAGGGTGTCATTGCAAATATACACATCTATGAATTCGTAAGAAACAACCCCTAACCGAATGTAGTATGCACTTTTGCGGTGGCATTTTGTGAGCAGTTCTTTCTGTGAATCACTATGCAAACCATAGACAGAGACTAGTTTAGAAACGGTGAAAACTAGATGTTAGGAAATCTTTTTTTTTATCGCCATTCCCCGAAATTTTGGATAGCATCTTGCATTATACATATACACAAGTCACTTTGTTATTACTTTAAAAATTAGTTTCTTTAATTATACTTCTATATGCTATGTTCTTTGAGGACGTGGATGATCGTGGATCTCCACAACTTCTTTTTTTGTCGTTATAAGTCAGTTTTGACCCTTTACCTGTCATCCTTCTTTGTCCTTCTGTCATCCATTCACACAAACATGTTAAGTAGCTTACTCGCTGTTATCCCCTGCTTTTGTTTTCAGTAGGTGAGTGTTAAATTCGTTGGGCCCTTTTCCAGCATTATGTGCCCCCAAAATGTCAGCTTTCTGATTGTAGAGTATCTTTCCTTGCAGTTCCTAGTTTCCTCGTAAAACGTCATCGTTACTCGCTTGCTCTGCTTATAATATTCTCAGCATCCTTCTGTAGAACCATACCTTTGTCGCTTCAACTTCTTCATCTGTGTGGAGGTTGTTCCGCATTCACTGCCATATAAGGCCATTAAATGTTACATGGCACTCTTTTCTTTCTTTCTTTCTTTTTCTCTCTTATACTTTGCTTAATTTCTGAAGATCATTTTAATATTCATATGTGGCTTTGTATTTGCGCCACATTCGGTTGTTTGTTACAACATCACTTAGGGGGGGGGGAATTAAAAATGGTTTGTTGTAGCTTAGCTAGTAAAACACGCTGAACCTCTAAACATTATATCCCATTCTTTTCTATCCTTATACCATTGCGGTCTGGGTCAGTCTCTTCCTTGTAAAACTTGCAATACTCATCATAGCATAGAAATGTGAATAGACTGTTAGAAAGCCCGGTTCAGATTTCATTTCTTTCTAAAAACCTCATTTAAGAAAAACCTTGAATCTTGTGAAACACCCGACGCTTTCCACTTGTTTTTCTATCTCGGGTTGGAAATGGAATTTTTCCCCCCCCTTCGCATATGAGGAGTCGGGGTGTCACCTTACAAATGGGTTAGCGAAGAAAGAGTAGACAAGAAACGAATTCCAGCAAAGAGGAAAAGTGTCTTGGAATTCTGGGAAATACCGGTGCCTGCTTTTGAGGTCTGACTATCAGCATGAGCAAATATTGTGTAAAACGTAAAGTTAGGATGTAACTTATTTTTTATTTTTTTGGCAAATAAATTTACTTGATTACTTTTAACTACTTTAGCTGGCGGCTTATAATGCCCGTTTTATTTCTTTAAAAAAAAAAAAAAAGAAAAAAGATGCACTCTAATATTCATACTTGACCTAAAAAAAAAAAAAAAAAAACTTCCCGGAGAGGTTTTCGTTTCTTATTTGTCCGATATGTAACTTCATCTCTAAGTCGGTATTTAGCCGACCTCCACACAAGGTCGATTTTTATGTAGAGCGATCCGAGCCTGCAGGCTCGGGCAAAAATTCCCTGTAGACCCCTCATACACGGGGTCGGGTTTGTCTACCTCCCCAGACGAGACTGCCGTTCGGCATAGCCTCGTCTGGGCTCCTCTCTACTCGAAAGCAGAGTTCGATGTCTTGATGCTTGCTCAATTCTAAGCTGAAAAGCAAGCCCAAAGTTCAACTCTACGTCTGCTACCTAATGGTGAAAATTTTGTACACAAATACTTGTTTTCAACGATCTTCCTTCCTCAAATACAGGGACTTCAAAACTCCTGTTGGAGAAACTCCTCCCTGACTGGCCATTTCTTCAATGGGCGTTACTGTACTCACCACGTTTGGTGAGACTATTTAACCTATAGTTGGAGGTTTTGAGTTCAGAGTTGTCCTCCTAGACTGGTTGTCACCCAAGGCTATAGAACCTAGTCTGTTTATTTACTCATAGCTGAGGGGCGAGAGAAGATATATATATATTCACACAAAATTCTTTGTGAAGGATTTTTTAAACTTATTTTTTTTATTTATACTATTCATATGTAGATTATTGTCTCACCTTTGTTGTTCTGATTACAATGTTTCGGCAGTTGTATTCTCCGGCTTTCTTGAGGTGTAAATCCCGGGGCCGGGCATTATGTACTTGCACTCAGTGGAAACAGGCGAGAAATTCTGAACGGTACTAAATAAAAAATCTAGTTTTACTAATTAACTTATAGTAGGTGAAGAGGTTGATTTATACCTTTCTCAAGAGTATTTGTGCATAATTGAATATAACGAACCCAACCGGAATTGGAACTTGGATCGCTGATTAACAATTTCGAGCCATTATCCATTAGACCACCTGCACATCGAAGCTTACAGCACGTGGTATTCCCATGAAATTATTTTAAATTATGTACAATTGTTTTTGTCTTAATTTCTGGGATGAGGAGTTATTATTTACACTATTTATCTTTGGACTATTGTCCTTGTCTTCATTGTTGTTATCACAACATTCAGCTCATTGTGCTCTCCAGCCTTCTTCAGTGTCTTCAGGATTCCCAGATCAATATACAACCGAGGGAGGCCAGCGTGCACAACGGTCGAAACGTTGTGATAACAACAACAAAGATTAAGACAATAGCTTGTATGCAAATAATGATAACTCTTCATCACAGAAATTCAGAAAAAAAAAAGTTATTTTTTCTACATTTCGGATCGGTTTTTTGGGGTTTTCCGAAAATAAAGAAATTGACATAGGATAAAACACAAGTCTTTGATAAGACCGAAAGCACATTGGCCAATTTAAATTGATGTAAAAATTTCAGATAGAGTTTATCGGGAAAAAGACAAAATGAAAACTTAGCCGACAAATAACTTTTTTGTTCTTGTATATAAATACTTGTCACAAAGTCACTTATATTTGCCGTGATAAAGTCCCACAAAGGACGAAACGCATAGATAAGTTGGTCTTTTGCCTTTATTCATTTAAGTATGAAAGCAAAAGATTAATCAGAAATAAAGAAAAAAAAAATTAAAGAATTTTCATTGGTCTTTAGGGTACCATGTGGCATGTATCGCTGCGATTAACGGACCAATAACAAAATACATTTTTCACCTGACAAAAAGCAGAATAAACGAGGCAGAACGCTAGAAATAAAAATGGGAACTGTTCCAATCCTGAGGTTTAAAAAAAAAAAGAAAAGAAAAGGTTTCATTATTTTTGTTTTCTCTCCTCCTTCGCATACCTTTGCGGGTGGCATACACAGTTATGTGGTTCAATGCTAATAAAGCTCATCTGTGTATCAATCTCGCGCTTGGCCCGAGCATGTGATGAGTTTGGAAAACCATTCTCTTCGGCGAACCGGTCTCTGGGCGCCTTAAAAAAAGGTCCAACTCTACTGGAATCGACTACTGCCATGAGACATCAGAAATGCCCAAAGAGAAATATGTCGACAAAAGGTTTACGAAACAAAGCACAAAGTACAAACAAAAGAAAAGGCGGCACCGTAAAACCAGGACTTCCTTCCGTTACTAAACTTTTTCCCTCCTCCACTTTTGCAGACGCTAAGAAAAAAATGCGTGGCCCTTTGTTGGTCATTGAAGGATCAGCAACGGATTTCGAAAACTTTTAGAAATCTTCTTAGAGAGAAACGTATAGAAACATAAGCAGGGAGCCTGCTGTAGAGAGACGGCAAATAAGCTGGTCTAACAAACCGTTCTAATGGAGAGAAGTCGATCCTCTCTGGGTATCCCACTATTGCAATTCTGTACTCTAAGTTTCTTCAGAGATATAAGCTGATCGCCTGCCAACTCGTTTCGTAAGTCATCATAAAATAATTCTATCCTATTTACGCCGATATTATGGCCTCATGCCAGACTAGTCTAAATTCAGAAAACATTTACAGAAACGTAAGCATGGTGAGTTCATAATCTGGAAAATTCTCTGAACTTTTGAAATTTATTTTGCAATTCAGAGATATTCTGGAATGTGTAGAACACAGAAACTTTTCATTTTCTGAAAAGTCAAGGAATTCTTCAGGTATTAATCACTGAAAAATAATATTTATTCAGGCCCGAAACTAAATTTGTTTATGGAAACAAAATAACGTTAATGTATGCAATACGTTTATGTTAGGAGTTCCATATGCGCAAGGCACGGAGTCAGTTGCTGAATGTGCCGGTTTTGGACAGCTACTGTAGAGAGAGGGATTACCTGTTCTTCTGCCAAGTAAATACTAATGAGTTCTATTCCCGCCAGAAGTCCCACGTGGTTTACGGAATATTTTTGATTAGTGGGTCTTTGTGACGTGTTTTACAAATTGTTTTTTTCATGGCTTTAGGCAACTTGAGGGGATATTATCATCATTCCTGTTGTTGTTACACCAGGCATAGCTTTCATGACTTCTGCTCTCAACTGATCGGAAGTACGAGAATAACTCAAAAATTATCCGCACTTTCGCCATGACATATATTTAGGTTTGTCACCCTGTCTTCTGCTAATGCGTGCTTATAGTTGATACTATTATGGTCATGTGATCGAAGTTTGAGTTTGATTGCGCCAGTTTTCTTGCTGCTGTTACAGTGTAAACATGGCCGCTCCGCTAGCAGTATGCACGAAAGGAACAAAGAGCAGTGATCCAAATTTGCAGAGAGCATGCTACCTCATCGGTGCTAACTTATCAGTTCGCCATTACCATCTTTCGAGCTTGCTGTATCTTCTCGTCAGTGATGGAGGTTGACGAGCGTCCTGTTCCTTCTTCGTGCGTCACGCTTATCCGGCAACTTTTAATCTTCTCAATCCATTCATACACACTGCTACGCGGTAGTGCACTGTTACCGAATTGTATTAAAAGTCTCCGATGAATTTC